TGTATTACATGGATATATATTGAAAAAACCCCATTACATAAATTATATATAGATAAGTGACTCTGATAGAATCGCTGTACAACTAAATATAATGTCCATATATACTTAGGGGTGAAAGACCTAAGCTGAATATATATACATAGCTCTAGAACTCCTCAGAGTTATAAGCTAACTAAATTATGTATATAATACATATTAACTTTGTGATTGTAATATTTTAACGCCTACGAGGGACTGTCAGCTGTTGAGCGAGGACCAAAGGGCCGAAATGGTGCTGATGTCTGGGCTGATGAAATGGGCTGATGTGAGGAGACCTAGGAGGCTCTGCCATTGTCGAAGTGGTAACGGAGAGCGTAGAGCTGGTGGAATGGTCTGTTGGATCTTGATCCAACGGTCTTCTGGTACAACGATACGGTTGAGATTTGTGATAAATCAAATGCCTAGGAACTGTAGGTCTTGTGACGGTACTAGGTCCGACTTGAGTAAGTTTACTAACCATCCTAGCTGTGTTAGTAGCTTTATGATGTAATTTAACTGTAGTTTGAGATGCTGTGGATCTTGATCTACTTGTATCCCGTCGTCGAGGTAAAACGACCGCGAGCCCTTGATGATGAAGATAGGTGATAATCGGTTTCGCTATCCTCGTGAAAAGCCAGGGGCTGATGATATTCCCAATGGGGAGCACTTTCCACTGGTAAAGCGTTCGCCTAAAGTAAACCGTAGGTATTTCCTGGCTTTGGCGTGTATCGGGATGTGCAGGCCCCTGTAGATCGACACTGCCCATGTAGTCCATGGGCTAATCAACTGCCGCGAACCGAGGTAAATGTATCATGGAACTGGTGGTTTATGTGAGATAGTTCTTGCTGAAAAAGCTCATGTTGTAGATGAGTCTGTATTTCTCTTGAGTTTTTCTTGGGAACTAAGAAAACTGGGGAGTAGAAACTGGTTCTATGTTGTCCTGGTCTAGTATTTCTATGGCCTGCTTTATTAAGAGCTGCATGTAACAGCCTCTCTTTAACTTCGGTAGTTGTTGTGCCTGCACGTCCTGAGGGTTGACTGTCAGCGGAGGCTTGCGGCCTTTGAAAGGTCAATGAAATCCGTGGACGAAGAATGTTGGAGACATAAGGGTCTTGTAATATTCCCCCAGTTTTCCCAGTAAAGTTGGAGGCAAGGCCCACCCACTTGAGATGAGTTGTACTGGAACGCTGGGGGTGGAAGACTCCAGTCAGTTGAACCCGTCTTTCACAAGCGTTTATAGTTGCGAAACCTCTGGGTGTCCTGCCTCTTCCTGAACCTCCTCTATAGTTGCCGAATGGGCTTACTCTAAAAGAATCTTTTCCCTCTAGAGCTGGCTATCTTTCCTGTCTCAGGCTCTCTGTAGGCCCGTGAATTTAGATCTTCCTGAGTATCTTTGAGAGGTCTGTCGGATGACGCTGCCTAGTGTGTCCATCGATTTAATCATCAGGACTTCTCTGGAATCAGCAGTGACTTCCTTGGAAACTTTGTCTATTTCTCTCCATTAAAGATGGATGTTGAAGACCACGGGGCTGTATACAGTGGGGCTGTAAAGTTCTCACCCCAGTTACAGGAAGCTTAGGAGGCCTTGACGACGCAGCTAAGGTCAGTGCTGCTGAAATAGATGTAAGATGATCTGTTAGGAACTGCTGGTCTTTCTTTGCATAAGTAAGGCAGAATAAATCATTCTATCATCCTCTGAAGTCGTGACAATGGAAATCTGGTGATAAAGAGTCTCATTGATCGCTTCTAGATCTATTTAAACCAAAAACATACCGCCTCGGCCATGGTTTCTATCTGGACTAACTTGCATCATCAATCTTGTAATTCTTGTACTTTTGACACCGCTGATCAACTTATATAGTTCTCTCATCAATGTCCTGAGCTTTGACGGCGGGGTCCATGTTATGCTATGGAGAACTTCTTGGCATGAAAGTTTGGTGGTGTCTGAACTTTCGTAAGTTTTGTGGAATGCTGCATCTAGATTCTGTGGAACTGCTGCAAATCGGGTCGATCGGTGGTAGTGTGATAGCATCTGCATCGCTCTTCTTTCATCAGATATGTCTGGCGCCACACTGCCATTTTAGATGGTGATGAGAGATCTAGGTTATTGACCATCCAATACCGTGATCTCAGCATCGGAGAAAATAACTCCTCATCATCCTCTATACCATCATCATTGATGAGAGGTTGGTGCTGTTCTGACTGCGCGGCTTCTGTCTCTACGTCCGGGCGATGCTTGTGCAGCTCTGTATGGTGATCTGTAAGGTGATCTACGCGGTGATGAACGAAGAGGAGATCGTCTAGGTGATCTACGTCTATGGGTTGATCTTCTCGGTGACCTGTGAGGAGAACGTTGATAGCTTCGCGAAGCTCTTGTGTAGTCCCTCGATGTCCTTCTAGATGATGAAGATCTGGATTCAGCTGGCCTTCGCGAAGCTTCCTCTGCGTCCGGTCCGGGGGATTTACGATAAGACCTTCGCGAAGGCTTTCGTGATGTCTGATGGTCCGAGTCCACATCTAGGGATGAAGATGACGAGGGTGAAGATCTATCCCCCCTTCGCGAAGGCCTTCGCGAAGGCTGTACATCTAGGTCCTTCGTGGAGGTGGTCCGTGCCTTCCTTCGCGAAGGTGACATCGTCTTGGCTGCTACGTTGACGGGGGGTGCCTCTGGGGTGCTGTCTACGTTGGAGCCTTCGCTGCTTCTGCAGTCTATATCGATCTTCCATCATCGTCATAATTTGCTGCATCAGGTCATCAGGGATGGTCTGCGACGATGTTGTCTGCGCCTTCTCTGCGGTGTTAATGATGGGGTCCACAGCAATAACGCCTGACATCGGTGTAGAGGCATCAGGCTGCATGAAGATCTCTGCTGAAGTCACTGTCGCTGACACCGGCCGCTTCTTGTGCCGTATGTCGGGGATGATAATCGGTTGGTCATCGTAGAGGCCCCTTTCTTCGGCTGGAACGATCTCGGCTGAGAAAGTTCTCGCTGTCTTCGTAGACTTCCCTTTGGATGTCGACGCTGCCCTGGGGTAATCGAAGTCTGAGTTGACGTCGAGGCCCTCTTGACTTTTATCTGCGATGACGGGATGTCTGGGGAGGCCGCCGCTTCTTAGAGGTGACGGACTGCATCCCACGTCCCTCTTCGATGGGGTCTCTAGCAGAACACCAGACGGTAGGGGTCGATCGCCAGCAGCTGACTAGATGGAGTATCTGGAGTATCAGCCATATTTAGCCCTTGTTTGCATTGTGACCTATCTGCAGCACGTCTTAAGACGCAAAGATAGTATTTATTAAATGCAGAATTAGATAAATTAATGCAATAACTGCAACGTGAATCAAACGCACACGGCGTAGAACAACTAGGGCATATTACATGCGGATCTGAGGCAGAAAAACGTAATCTACAAATAGTACAGATTTTCATCAACGTAATACTAGCTGAACAATCACGAATACACGTGAATAAACAGTAGAAATACGATAAATAATCAATACAAATTGCTGAAGGATACTAGCTATACCTCTATAGTACACTATAGGAGGTAAAAACTAAGAAAATCAAAGGATATGTTGTGTAAGGAGACACAGGCGCTCTCACATCCTGCTCACTGGGCGAAGAAGGAGAGAGTGAAGCACGAGGTAGGAGGTGGCGACACCTTTCCCGCCAAAAGGGATCAAGGGGAGCAACTCGTGGTGAGTACTGATTAGTGATTTTACATTGAAGGGAGCTTCAATTAAGGAGATACAAGTGTTTCCACTATGTTCGCAAGAAGAAGAAGACAAGCAAAAGAGCATGAGTCAGGATAAGGAAAAATTTTACATCATCGGATAGGAAATTTAATACTCTACATATCTGTGTTATAGCCGTAGCTAGAAGCAGTGCATCACTAACGCAATTCTCGCTCAACGTTCATTTTTCAGAACTTCAGAGAAAATAAACCTCTGCTTCCAGGGGGGTTAAGTGTTCTGTGCACTACGTTGTACATTAATAAATCTGCTAGATCCCATGGACATATCTTTTTGTAGAGATATGAATGGAATCCTCTCTGCAAGGAAAATCTGTAAATTATGACAAAAAGCAGATAAATATAATATACATTAAGTGTGATTCACCCAAATCACGAGCGCGCGAAACGGGAGGCGAGAGAGAGTATTGCCTACCGCTAATGAAGAACGTCCTCCGATACGGACTATAGAAATTTGGCGCATGCGCACAACATGTCAACATGTCAGCTCGCTATCGTTGAAACAAGAACTCAACGGGTTTCAGGCCCATTAATATCTAAATGTATGATCACCAAAATATGACAGTTACGTGTATGTATAGGGATATTATCTGGGAGTTCATCGATATTGACTTTTCAGTCAAAAACCCACAGGAAATATATTTAAGAAATCTCAAGAAAATACGAGGGGTAATCGGCCACTAGAATCTGAATAGGATTTATGAAGGTGGTGTTCTCGGCCGTGATGCAGGGTCATGTCTTGACTGTATAGGACCGCATCGCGGCTCTCGGCTACTTTTCCCACAATTACAATTTCGTTTTTGGTAGAATTATATATGATTTCAGAGTGTTTACTCATGTCATCACAGACATTGTAGATGTTCAGATGACTGTTATGTTTAAATCTAATTTAGTGACATGTTTTGCGGTTATCCAAACCATTACCAAGAAAAGTTTCTTGAGTGTCCGATAGTACCGTGTTTATCAGTTGTTATCTGAACATAATGAGCATGCATTTGCCTGAAGTTTTGTCCACAACGAGTGTTGATCGAATGTAGAACTGTAATGTTTGGGGTTAATATACAACACCTGTGTATGCCTTATCTCTGTGTACTGGTAATTCTCGTGTGGAAAAACCTTCCGTAGGTCATAGCACCTGCCCCAATGACAAACCTTCAATTTTCGACAATGAGGTCCTGCGCAGCTACAAATTAAAATGCATACATTATAATATAGTCTGTTGTATCATCATACCTTGACAACACCATCGCCATCAAGTTCTTCAACGACTAACCGTCTCGTGCTACCGGTTCCCCCCATGATGATAACTTTCTGCTCGGCCAGCACACCGGAAGTGAACTGTGAACAGGTTCGGCCCCAAACGTAGTACCGAACAATATGTCTCTAGCAAATATGATTGGATATAATAGGAAAGATGCCTTGAATATAAATTCTATACTTAAGCTATATATCATTTGCTATGTGCATCTAGTCATTAATAAAATATGCAACATATTACACTATAATTAATTGTTTCTAGTAGCAAAACAGTTGCAGGCGACGCCTCCAGAAGCGAGACGACTGGGGTTGATGAGTGGAGGAATGTCAGAGATGTTGACTTGACTCTTTCAGGTATCGTTCACATACATCACTGTATTTTTTTCAGGTAGAATAAGCTATGGTAGTGTGAATGATAATTGTGATCAATTGTCATTTAATTCGTGTAATAGTAACAGAAGAAGATATAGACTATCTTCAAGGGAAACGATTGATCAATTTTGACAGTTGACACTAGTGATTCATAAAACAGATTGCAGTCGTCGAAATGTTTGGTAACTAGTTTCTAAAGATTTTAATTTCAAAAATATGTTTTGCACATATTAGAATGGCACGTTGATAACGTCTTCAAAACGTGAGTGTTTGTTTGAGAGAGCGAGAGATACATAAGTGATTTGATTAGGGCAGTTCAACCAGGAGTGGAGACATTTTTACTAGGACATTATCAGCTCTAGTATAACTTTCCCAAATAGATCAAGGGTTGGGGAAGAGTGAGTACTGCAACAATGCAGTATACCAGGAGCAGCTTGCTGTAGCGGATATTGGGGACTGAAGCTTTCCTTCACAGGTCTTGTGTACCTCTTTCATCTTTCAGGTTAGTTGTGTTAGGGTTAGGGCATGTTACATCCAACTGTATCCTTATTCCATAGATCCTGTTTCTGATCAAGTACACCTTTACATTCATTTTGGGTTATATACACCTTTGAGATCAAACAACCCTACACAATCCATAGGCTTGGTTATGAGGCAGGAATTGTCAGGGTGAGGGGCAACAAATAAATCCAACACAATTTGAGGTATCTGTATATCCCATTTGATCCCCTTTTATCAAGTTTTGAGTTTCACTGAGAAAACGGCTACTGCCCATGCACAGAAAGATAAACAATCAGATGCAAATGACTTAGTATGTGAGCACCATTTATTTTTTATGGTGTCCATGTTCCCATGACAGGATGCAAACTAATTAGATTAACTCATTAGCCTAGCTTAGATTCAAGGTGGCAATGAGAGTTTGATCCTCCTCATAGGACTAATGTCTGAAAATCTCTCTCTCAAAAGTTACTCACAGGCTGGTATGGGTATCTGGGGTCCTTGAGTCGCATGGATACTGAGTAGGATTGGCTATATACAGCACTACTCAGACCTGACAAAAATTCACTGTACCACTATGGTTACACAAGTGACTATTGTTCGTATTACTTTCTGCCTACATGCTCACTCCATCTGACTTGTATACATATCTGTGTAAAGGTAAGCTTCTGTCAACTTCTATGTCTACATTATCTGGTCGCTTTTATGCATGTATCTAAATAGTTTTTGACAGAGCTAGGGTGAAACAATTTGACATACCGGTATATCATTTTATACTCAACTCTTGACTCCTACAGGGGGTACTCAGAATAGGGTCGCATAGTAGGATTGGGTAGCCGGGTAGTTATTTTTATTATACATTGTTATATATAGTATATAGTTATTATACATTGATGGGGGCCTTTTCTACTGTAGAATCTGCAAAGGGTCATTAATCAGGAGATAAGAGGAGAAATACACCCTGCATGTACACAGATATCTATTACTCAACAGCTTCTACTAAACATGATGTCATAAATCAGATAACACAGATCAAATCAGCAACATGAAAACTGGTCTACTAAAGTAAAGATTTATTGATGTGTACAACGCTTGGCTGTGTGGTCGAGTTCAGAACCCGACAGACCAGAGATTGACATTATAATCAAGGTCCAATGCAATCAGTGTATTGTAACACTCCATCAGTCAAGTCACTGAGTCTGACCATCTGTCACTACTTAGAGGTATATGGGCGGTGGGGTAGCCTAGTGGTTAAGGCGTTCGCTCGTCACGCCGAGGACCCAGGTTCGATTCCCCACATGGACACAATGTGTGAAGCCCATGTCCGGTGTCCCTGCCGTGTTATTGCCGGAATATTGCTAAAAGCGGCATAAAACTAAACTCACTCACTCACTCTTAGATGTATACTCTGTGAAGTCAGCATGTCCAAAATACATCATCAACTGTACCACTGTACAGAATATTTTAGAGGATGCGGTGCCACAGCCTACACAGTCTGTAACACATGTAGTACTTATGTTGTTGATTTTGAATCCATGTAAGAATATACATGGCATTATATTATTGACTGGAAATTCAAAAGAAATGAATTTTTATGAACAGCAAGATTCTGTGTTATTCAAAAACCACTAGTGGCGGTGGGGTAGCCTAGTGGTTAAAGAATTCGCTCGTTACACCGAAGACCCGGGTTTGATTCCCCACATGGGTACAATGTGTGAAGCCCATTTCTGGTGTCCCCTGCTGTGATATTGCTGGAATATTGCTAAAAGCTGCATAAAACCATACTCACTCACTCAGAAACCACTAGTCTAAAATGAGTGGATTTGATGGATTTTACTTCAGGTGTCTACACAGGATCATGTCTTAAACACGTCATATTGTTTTGACCCTGTTGTCTCATGTCTTGCAGTGCCTGCAGAAACATGGCGGCCATGTCGGCGGGCTACAGACATCAAGGAGGGCTTCCTGTGCCCCATGTGCATGAAGGATTTCGGGACAGTCACTCAACTGCAGGACCACTTTGAACAGGCTCATTCATCCGAAGATAAAGCAGTATTTCAACAGCTGAAGGGTATGTGTCTTAATTTCTTTGGGCAGTGCGGTAGCCGGGTGGATAAAATGTTCGCTCGTCACGCCGAAAACCCGGGTTTGATTCCCCATGTGGGTACAATGCTTAAAAGCCCATTTAAGGTGTCCCCTTCTGTGATGTTGCTGGAATATTGCTAAAACTATACTCACACAGATACTTTCTTCTCGTTGCTTTTCATCGGAAAATAATGAATGAATTGTATACAAATGTGCTGAGAAGGACCTGAGATCTTTTTTCTTCATCTTGTTTGGGAAGCCTTCCAGACATCCTGAAACTTCTAGACTTTGTGTCTAATCTAAAACCTTAATCTTTCCAGGTCCTTCTTCAGCAATTAACTTCCAATAATTCCCAGCAATCTTTATGTTTCCTCCATCCTTGACAAATAAATGAACTAGTTTGGCCTTTAGAATGTAAGAAAATGTATTTGTTGTAAGGAAAAGTAATGAATAAATTTGTTTGTATTTTATTGTGTTACAGGATTCTTCGACAAGGCTAAGAAGAAGATTCTTGGAGAAAAGGAACATGGATATTCCAGCTCAGTTGAAAGTCAAAGTGGAGGCAACTCTTATCTGTCTCTCTCACCATTCGATTCCGATAGTTCATGGTGGGAGCCCCAGGAACCAGGTCAGTGAAGTTGTCGAGAGTTGGCTTGCATTTAGAGGGCCAGTTCAATAGCAACCATCCTTGATAATCTCCAGGGTATACGTTACGATCACTCTCCACTATACCCTGGATGCATCCACGGCTTGGCCCAATAATTATATTACCTCCCTTTGCTGGCCCCGCATTCTCACAGTAGCCAATCAGCTAAGCCGCCGTTACATCCGAGCTTGCCAGTATCAACAAAGATAGCGGTCGCAGTCGCAGTCGCGAAGGTTTGTTCACAGTGCCACTCAGATTTTTGGGGAAATCATACAGACAAATTGACATGTCTGAAACTTTAAAAATATATATGAAAGAACTCCTTCTACCTCTTTCAGAGTACCTCTGCATCAACTGTGTTGCTAAGTTTAAACGGTTAGATAATTTAAGAAGCGAAAGTGAGTTTTGATTGGTTCGCTCAACTTCCCAGTGTAGACACCTGATTGGATAAAAAGCCAGCCAAGGGAGGTAATATAATTATCGGGCCAAGCCGTGGATGCATCCAGGGTAGAGTGGAGAGTGATTGTAACGTATACCCTGGAGATTATCGAGGATGAATAGCAACAGGAGGTACAATTGGTGAAATAATTGTGTCAACAATGTGGTCTCTTATAACATTCCAAACAGCTTGACGTAATGTGCCGGGCATAGGTGTATGTCATTATCTCTCTTCAAAAGGCAAGATATATCATGAGATCTGCTGGCTAGGCAGTCTTTGTCATGGGATCTGCTACATGGGCATGATATGTCACGGATCCCTTGTAGAACCATGATAGGTGATGGATCCCCTTAATAGGCATGATATGTCAAGGATCTCCTGGACAGGCATGTTATGTAATGGATCCCCTCGAAAGGCATATGTAAGGCTCATAGGGTCTGAATAGGCATGCTGTGTCATGGATCCTCTTGATAGGCTTTACTCAGGGTTTTACCTTGACTTACAGACATGGGGTACTCTCAATTATTAATTTTAGTGGTCCTTGCAGGCAATACGAGGTTTCTGTGAAGTAACATTGTGGAGAACTGTACGTTTTCATAATTTCCTTAGTTCGAGCCTGGAATGAATCATTAATCATGTGGACTGATAGGTGAAATGATGCATGCAACTGCTCTCAAAGAAACAACCAAATACAGTCTAATCCCGATGAGTCGAATCGCTGGGGACCAAGTAAAAGATTCGGCTTATCGATGTATTCGAGACATAGGTATGTCTATGAGGGTAGAAAAAAACGATGATTGAATATTGAACAATTCCTTTATTCAGCACATCATATCTAAATATAGCACAACAATACATTAGGTGACATAGATAATGGATAATAATGGATAATGGAAACAAACAGTAAACAAATGAGAACACATTTCAATACTAGCACAATAAAATACAAAATACATTTACCTCTTAAAATCCATGAACAAAATCTATCGGCAATCGATAGATATACGTACATGTACATGCGGCCATCTTGAATCTTATTAATACAAAAAGATGAACTCACTTCTGGAAAAAGTCTGACATTAATGTTTGTTTCTGTGAATTTCCCTTACATTTATCCACAAATTCACGGACGCTTGCCAAGTGGGAAAAATGGAGGTGGTTTGACGGCAGGGTGTGTCTCGTCTTCATCATCAGACGAGTCGTCGTTGTGACAGGTCCTGGGACCAAGCAATGACTCGATGATGTCGGCATCAGATGAAGGGGCACATGTTTCAATGTTGTCATCGACACTTACATAGTCGGACAAAGTCACATCACCTGGAAGTACACAGACATGTAATCTGGCTAGGGGGATGTCATCTTCATCGTCAGATTCACATGGGGCGTTGGGAGATGCGGCTTCTGTCAGAACGAATCCAGCGTGGCGGTAGCAGTTGGAGATTATTACTGGCTTTACTTTCTGCCAAGCACGTCGTTACATACACATGGCATCAAGCACTGTGATTACACATTCCTTACTGTCGTTGATGGCTGCTATGTAACGGTCAAGAGCTGCATTCCTGTAGTGGACCTTCAGATTATTGATGACACCTTGGTCCATTGGCTGCGTTTTAGAAGTTGTGTTTGGTGGAAGGAACACAAGAGTAATGTTTGTGAGACCTGTGACTGTCGGGTGAGCAGGACAGTTGTCTAATATGAGAGCAATATTCTTCTTCCGCCTAATCATTTGTTTATCTAATGACTTTACCCAATCACAAAATAAACCAGACGTCATTCAGGCAGACTTGTTGTGACAATATGGAGTCGGCAGAGATTTGACGCTCTTAAACAACGCTGCTTAGCAGATTTCCCCTATCACCAATAGGGGCACCTTATCAGTTCCAGTCTGATTATCACAGACAAGGACAGTTAGGCGTTCCTTTGATTGTTTACCACCGTGACATTTGACACCTCTGAATTCAAGAGTTTTGTTAGGCAAAAGACGGTAGAACATTCCTGTCTCATCAGCATTGTAAATGCAATCTGGCTCAAACTTCTGTAACACTTGTTGTAAGGATTTTGCCCAGTCATTCATAGCTTGAGAATCATTATCTACAGATTTTGATTCCCCACAAACAGCTTTGAAAAGAATGTCATTTCTCTCTTTAAACAGATTTAGCCATCCGGTACTGGCAACAAAATCTGTTATACCAAGTTGCGTTGCTAGTTCTATTGCTTTTCGCATAGACATGGACCATTAATTGGGACATTTTGGTCCCGCGCTATCTTAAACCATTTGAGTAGTGCTTCCTCAAGTTCAGGAAACTTAGCCTCCTTTAACCTACGACGTTTTGCACCTGACTGTAACATGGATTCTTTAATCTTATCTGCCATTTTCAACCAAGTAGAAAGACTGTTAGGCGGAATTTCAAACTCTCTCGCAATTTCACTCTTGGATTTGGTACCTGCCTCCACTGCAGTGATCGCTGCAAACTTCTTGTCAATAGTGTGCACTTTTAGAATGCGCTTCGTTTGGAGTTGATGTTTCCGATCTGTTTATCCCTCCAGATTGCTGGGAACATTATAACTCCGCCATGATATACAGATCATGAATAGTAATAACCGAATGAAAGCTGCTATATAACGCAACCGATTTGATTGAGTTAACTCAATGTCATGTGCTAATTCTTCCGTTTCCGTAAAATCACTAATCTGCCTTTTGAACTCACCCAACAATAGCGGATAGGTGCGAGCCGCGCTGGTTTGTTAATTGGATCAGTTAGCAACACCAATTAACTTCTCATTGACTGACTTCGGCTTATGTATACAAGATTACTATTGTTTGAATCTCATGGGACCAAATTTCCATTTCGAGTCGTCGTGTGTATTTATGAGACGAATTCGTGTAACCGGAAATCAAATGATGACAACAATAGCAGGGAATGGTCGGGACCGACAGGTACTTCGAGTTATGCATAATATTCGAGACACCGGCATTCGACTCATCGGGATTTGACTGTACTTAGCAAAGTCATAGATGTGTTGTGGGTACAGTGAATAATATTGTGCATCCCACTGGATGCAGTGAATGTTTTTTTCTGCAGGGCAATTCAATGCAGGGCATGTCTGCAGATCACTGGATATGTCATGTGTGAGTGAATTTAGTTTTATGCCGCACTCAACAATATTCCAGCTATATGGCAGCAGTCTGTAAATATTGGAGTCCAGACAATCCAGTGATCAACAGCATGAGCATCGATCTACGCAAGTGGGAATCGATGACATCAACCAAGTCAGAGAGCCTGACCGCCCGACCCCGTTAGTCGCCTCTTACGACAAGCATGGGTTACTGAAGTCGTGCATAAAGATCAGTTTTACTCCGGATCTTCACGGGTCGGCTATGTCATGGGGCAGTTGGATAGGCGTAATATTAGTTATGCTCAATATAACCTGACATGTTACATGAAGTGTCAAACAACCTTTTTCAAGTTGGAAAGCAAAGTAATGCCATGTGTTTTCACTAAATATTTATTGTGACCAATCCTTCTCAGTCTTCACTGTTTGCTCACATATGTCTGGTGTATTGCTTGTTGTCTCAGTGTGCTGCCTGGCACAGTTTAAGATGAACTGCATGGTAAATTAGTGTGTCCCCAAGGTTCCAAAAAGGACAGGGTGACAGAATTTCAAATGGGGCACCGTTATTCCAAAAAGGTCATGTGATGACAGATTTCTTAGTATTATGTTAAGTTATTCATACAAAGTGATTCTTAACGGCTCAAATAGCAGTTATTTCACTTAACTTCAACATGAAATAAAAACTAAAACCATCAATTATTGTCTTAAAAGGAGGGCCGGGCGCCTAAGAAAAAGTGTAGGGCGCATAAGAAAAGGGCAGGGTGCTGCCTCCGTGAAACATTACAAATATGTTAATGTACCAATGTACTGCAAATACCGAACAATTCTTTTTTATATATTCCTCCTTGGGGTACTTATAAGCATTTAAATGTCCATTTAAATTCCCTACGACAGTTGTAACAATATTTGAATAAAATATTTACAAAACAAAAACTACGTTTTGTCTTGTGAGACCACCCTTACAGGGCCTTCCGGCCCCCTACAGCCAAGAGCAGGTAACTCTAGACCGTAACCTCGTACCTCACTTTCCATGCTGTCGTTGTACCGACAAGACGTGGGTCCATACCAGAAGGTTTTTCCTTGCGACTAAAGAGAGTTATGAGTGTTTCAGAAACGGCAACTGTATGTATGGTTCTCTTTTTCCTGCATGGGCCCGAATGGAGGTTTTTCTGAATTTTTCATTCATAATTTCGTTGTAACTTGGTACCTGTCGGCGGTCGGCTTGCTAGTCGTGTCAAGATGGCGGACAGGTCCCTTCCGCTAGCCTTCCTGTTCATTGGCTTCCCATGTGGTTTTCAATGTTACAGGTGGTTTTGAAATGGTTTTATTTGTATCTTTATGCGTGTAGAGGCATTATGTCTACTGCTTTCGCATTTTCTATATTGCGCTAAAAACCCGTGGTTGTTAGTTATGCTGCAGTGTGTACTAGGTTGTCAACTGCATGCTTCGTTTGTCGCGTGGTTGTGTAAGCCCATCGTCTTTTTACATGTATTTGTATGTGGGTATAGGGTAGATTGCTGCACAGGTTTTACTTGTTGCTGTTTAAACCCTGTACCGTGCCTTGCTGCAATTCCCGTCACAGGATACCCACGAGGTCTGCTTGCGCTGTTTAGTGCAGAAGGAACATGAGGAAGAGGTGTCGCGGCATGTGCCATGTTCGCCGCCCAAACCATTCGGGCAGGCGGATAGATGCAGCTGTTTTCTGCGGCAACCTGCTTGGGCAGGGGGTGATCTCTGGGCACAGGATCCCCGTCCAAAGCTCCCATAAAGTAAAAAAAGGGGTCCACGGGGCAGCTTCCCACGCTGAGCCGGCTCCCCAAAAAGCTAAAAAAGCGCCAAGAAGCCGTCTTCACGCGACTCATGACCCTTCTGCATCTCCTACTGCTTCGTCTCTGTACCCGCCACCCCCTCTTGATTCAGCACCTGTAAAAGTGTTCCTGTTGATTCGTTAACCGTTTTTTCCAGGAGCAGATGTCGTCAGTCAAGTCCCTGATTGACACATCTGGGGGTTGGCTGCGGCCCAGCTCTGGCTCGAAGCAGCGCCTCCCCTGGGCGGCTTGATCCTGCAACCCGGCCCTGGTGAAGAGCATGCCTCGGCGTCTGGTGACGACGACCTGGCTTTATGCACTGGTCTGTCACAGGTGCCTAGTGTACCGGCGATACAGGGTTGCCCTGTCATTGCCTGGTGTCCCCGCTGGCCGGTCGCCTGAAGCGCCGACCAGTTCGAGGAGATACCTCGGCGCCCGGCGGCCAGTCGGAGTTGCCGCCGGAAGCCTGTTGCGGCAGGTTCACTCGGGCTTCCACTGATTCATTCCCCAGAGCCCTTGTTGCCCCACTCCGCGAGGCGGAGACTTGCCCGGCGCCATAAGGGTGTTCACCAAACTTATGCTAATCCCAGCTCAGTTAGCCAGGTCTCCGGGGCAGGTGTTGTCACCCGCATCTGGACGATTGGCTTCACGGGCCTTAGGGCCTCAGTTAAACAGAGCTTGCCTCCACACTGTGCGTGCTGGATACTCTGGTGTCACTGGGCTGGATTATCAATCTCAAGAAATCAGACCTCGTTCCGGCCTTAGGATCTGATATTCTTGGGAGCCAGATTCAACACGGCGCTAGGGATTGTTTCTTGTTCGGACCGCGCATCGTCAAAGTCCGAGGACTGTGTTACAGTTCTCCAGTCTCCGTTCGCCGGCCCGAACATGGCTTCGGGTTGCTCGGCAACATGGCGGGCGACAGTGGGCGTGGTTTGGCGCGGCGCTGCGTGAGAGATGCGACCAATTCAGCAAGCATTAGCTCAGCTGTGGTCCCACTTGCAGGGCTACGAGATTATGCTCATAACGCCAGAGTGGTTAATCCCTCACTTGCGATGGTGGACGGACGTCTGGAATTGTCCAGGGGAATCCCCCTCTCAGTTCAGACGGACGCCTCCCTCACAGGTTGGGGGGGGGGTCCTGGGCGAGCACTCAGCCTCCGGCCTCTGGTCGGAGCGGGAGGTCAGCCTACACATCAATGTGTTAGAACTGAGAGCAGTCCGCAAGGTGTTCGAGTGCTTCCGGGTGTTGGTGCAGGGCGCGTGTGGTTCGTCTAGAAATGGACAATCAAACGGCCATGTCTTACATTCTCAAGCAAGGCGGCACAGTGTCTCACCGCTCTTTCAGGAGGCGGGCAGTTTCTACTGTGGTGCCACCAGTTCAACATTCGGTTTTGGCTCTGTTTATCTCCGAGAGTAGACAACGTCCGTGCAGATGCTCTCTCTCACGGCGTGCTACTTGCCCTTAATACCATCAGATGCTCGACGGGGAGATATCCGAGATTATCTCCCAGTTGTTCGGGTCGTTTGCAGGTGGATCTGTTTTGCGTCTCAGTGTGAACCAGATTCCTGTGTTCAGATTCCCGATTCCAGAACCGCCAAGTAACCACGCCTTTCGACGCAGGGTGGGACGGATAGGGTACGTGGCGTTCCCCCATTCCAATTTCCAGGGTCCTGCTTAGCGGGAACGCACAACCGGCTGCGCTACTTGTGCTTGGCACCGTTTGACCGGAACACAAAGCTAGTTTCCGTAATCCTCCAGGTTTCTGGCTCAACTTCCTGTTCTGGATTACCTTCATCGACTCCTATCTCTGAATCGAGCGCCCCACCGAATCCCAGAGATTCTCAGTGGGTGGCTTGGCAGCTTATCAGGGATCGCCTCCATGCGGCCGGAATTCTGCACCAGTTGCACAATGCTGGTTTCAACGGAGGGATTCCCTGGCCAAACGCTCAATATGAGGATAGATGGGCCTGTTATTCGCGCTTGTGTGTACAACAGGGGATTCTTGATCCCTTTCTACAGATTTCAGTCTGTGTGTTAGAATTCCTCCAGTTCGCTGGAAGCCGGTTCAGTCGCGTCATTCCGCTGTTCGGGATATTCTACACGGCTATTTCTGGCGCTTCATATTCCTGTTGACGGTGCTCTCTTGGGCAGCGGCACCTCTTGTACAGCCGCTTTTTAGCATGCGGGACAGAACTCCGTCCCGTTGTCCGACGTGATTAGTCTCGTGGGACTTGTCAATCGCTCTTGATTGGCTTGTCCGTCCACTGTTTCACAATCTTACCGCTCTTTCCTCCAGCTGTTGACGTGGAAGACGGCATTTCTTGTACGTGTGACTTCTGGCAGCGGGTTAATGTATATTCACGCAATGTCGGGCTCGTATCCCGCCGCTTACTGTTTTTCACAAAGACAGAGTTAGCATTCTGGCTGCCTGAGATCTTCACCGGCCCTAAAGATAGCTGATAGTCCTCTTCCATGTGACGGCGCCTATTGAGCTCCCAGCTGGCCTCCTTGTCCGTACCTCTCACGACGCTCACGCCCTTTTGTGATGTCCGTGAAGACACTTCAGGCTTATATCAAACGAACAAGGGGTACCCGTATAAGTAAACCAATTGTTTTGTTGTTAAGTGGCGGGTTCAGGTTGACCTTCCGCCACCAAGCTATGACCATATTTCTCGTGGCTTGTCTCTTGCCATACATATGAGTTATACTCAAACAGGGCTTATCCCTCGCCTGTTGGGTTGAAAGCTCATCTCGGTTAGGGCAGTATATGATCGACGAAGCTGATATTTCTGCAGCCCTGCCCATTGAGGAGATCTGTTCATGCTATTTGGAGCCGGCCCCAGCACGCTCATCCAGCTATTACCAACTTGACAGACTCTCCAGTGAGCTGCTCGCCCGGTCAGGGCAGTTCTCTCCAATGGGTATGGTTCCACTTCTTCAGCCGGGACATTGAGCTTTCGAGGTTTTAAAACATTATTGTGTGAACCATTATCTGCCAATTTTAACACTGGTGTTGGGTTTTGTAAATCTTGTTGGCATTTTTCCCTTGGTGATGGGTTTTATGGTGCTGGTTTTTTATTCCCATGTCTCTTGCTTTCTAACCGGTGAAGTCTCTAGGACTAAACTGCCCTTGGAAACTTTGCCGTTCATATTCTCGCATTGCTTCTGGTTGATATGGACCCTTATCTTCACTTCCTCGAAAAGTAGATTACGGAAGGAGGAGGGTGTGTCTCGCTCGGGTTGCATTAGCCAGGTTTCATTGACAAATTTGCATACTTCTTTATTCCCTGACCCTTGGCTCATGCCCCCGCCTTCGATTGGCTTTGGTGACACGTGATCAGGTAAGTGTGCCTTTTCTGCTATAATTAGCTTGGGAAATTCCCACCTCTTGTCAGTGCTTTAAGCAGACAGAATGAGCCGCCCTGAGATCCGTCTTTAGGAGTCTGTCTTATAGGATAAAAACCTCATGCTCAAGGAGGAATATATAAAAGAATCGAACCAACCTGTAGAGGTTTCAGATTCTTTGAATATATTCTCCCAGTACGCTCACCACCTCCCTCAAGATTCTGTCTGACTTCGCTCAGCATGGAAAGTGAGGTACGAGGTTACGGTCTAGAGTTACCTGCTCTATTGTAGGGGGTCGGAAGGCCTGTAAGGGTGGTGGTCTCCACAAGACAAAATCGTGAGTTTTTGTTTTGTAAATATTTTATTCAAATATTGTTACAACTGTCGTAGGGATTTTAAATGGACATTTAAATGCTTATAAGTACCCCAAGGAGGAATATATTCAAAGAATCTGAAACCTCTACAGGTTAGTTCGAATTTTCATAGCAAACAGGAATCACTTAATTCAAAGTATGCACTGAATATTTTTATATTCTTTATATGATTCAGGTGCTAGCCGTGGTCACATTGACGCCTTCAAAGCAGTTCGTGATGCACGAGTGGACCATTTCGTTGTGGAAACCAACAAGCTGCTAATCCGATTGGACAAACTAATAGGACCAGATTCACCACCGGAGCCAAATAAACGAAAAGGTATTCTACAAACCGAGACATTATTATACACATCAAAATGTGCTCTCTTTCTCATGCTGTTTGATGAGGATGAAGTGAGTTTTTAAAAATATTGCCCTTGAAACATATTTCTGCTGCCCACCAAGATCGACACAAGATGGTGGCACATTTTCCTCAGCTACTTTGGCAACCTCTCTGAAGCAGATTCTTACTAATTCACTCAGAAATTTCAGTTTGAAGCATTGATATGTTTATTAATAGTTTGTGTGTTTTGTAAGTGAAGTTTTATTACTTTAAAATATGATACTTTCCCATGTTTAGCATAGGATAGGTCCAGTGAAATGTTTCCTAATTCTGATCTGTGTAGTCAATTTTTATTTTTTTTATGACCAAAAGGGCAGGTGGTTAAAGCGGCCACTTGTCACACCAGAGATCTTGTTTGAATTCCCCACATGGGTACAAATGTCAAGCACATCTCTGGTGTCTGGAGTTTGTCTCCAATTTGGTGAAATAAGGCTAAATCAGTGTCAAACCATACTCAAGTTTTTGTCGACTTGTTGATATTGTTAGCATTTGACTTTTCTGACATAGCTTTTTCTAATCTAGATGAGTTTGTGAAATGTTTCAGTTGCTCAAAAGGGACATTTTCCACAACAAATTCACACTTTCCTACAAAGTCAAGTTGGGAAATCACTCACAGTCCTAACAGCTTTGCATTCAAGCATATATACTAGTATTTAGCTTTTAGCAATAGTTTAACCACTTGTGGATAAAACATTCATCTAGAATGAAACATGATAATTTGTATGTGTTAGAATGCAAATATTTGACGAAATAGATAATATCAAGTGTATATTTCACTTTGTTTGTATCCTACAGCTTTATTCCTTAGACATCATTCCGACTTTACGATGTGGTGATGTCATGGTATTGAGCGCTGCTGCTCCTTTTGTCCTATGCCATAAGCAGTTTGCGATATCATACAATAATTTTTCGATGATATCATCTTACATTTTGTTTTGTATATAATGTAGTGAGTTGATTTTGAGTCTTTGAATCGCATCATTTTGGCGATAGACTAACTTTAAATATATTGTAATTGGACTCCTGAAACACAGCATTTCGATTTTAGCAGTGAATAAAAGGTACTAACAGATATCCTGTAAGAATGATATGTCCATCTGAAGATGATATATTGCTTCCTGGGTTTATGACAAAGAGAGCTGTTTGTGTTTGCTATTCAAAGAAGTGATGGCATCAATATGTTTTCAGTAGTATGTTGCCTCTTAATGACCCTAACTGTCCATACACAATAGCATCGTAACTTTGAACATGAAGGAAAATAGTCCTGAAAACAGCATGCAAGGAGAGTGCATTTTATGTGTGTTACAACTTCTTGGATTCATATTTTCTTCCTTTCTTTAGTCTTAGGGTGGACAGATAGGCACAAACGAAGAGGTATGTAATGTGTTATGCATGACTGTGCACAGTTGGATTGTTCGAGTTCAGCTTTTGTGGTGTTGTTACTGTTGTTGAAATAAAAACTGAAAGATATTTAAGTTAAAAATATGCATTTCAGTGTTTGTTGTCTAAAATCAAAGAAAACGTCCTTCAGTAATCCACAGAGCATGTTGTGTATGTGAGGCACTTGAGACTAATACAACGATCCCCGATTACATTTCCATTCAGTTCTAGTAGCCCAAACTCATCCCTTTTTATCCTTGCATTTTGGAAACATAACTGGACTGATATAACAATCAGCATGTACGTTGTCTGTCTCTGTTTTCTGTTTCTGGAGCAGAACTCTCTAAACCAAGGAAACCGTTTTATACTTCATGTTGAAAATTTATATAGCCTATTGATGTACAGGAAATTTGTGATTTGGAATTTTCAAAGACTTTACAAAGTATCCAAGAGCAAGGTATATAGTTTATTCTGTGTAAATAGCTAAAGTTGGTGTTGGAATTGAACCAGATTAGCTCCTGAACTTAAGAAACTTGAGGCTTCCATAATATTTTATAGAGGTGTTTTGGTTTAGGCTTTTACATCATTTTATTTGGGAACAGTTAGTACAGGTGAGTTTCTTCCGTGCTTGTTTTAGAACTGATTGAATTGAATTGAGTGGTAACATGATATGATGTGATTGTTGCACACCAACAGCATAATGTCAGTTACCACCGGGTTACTAGACTGAGGCCATTATTTAAGTATTCTAAGATGCCTAGCGGTTAGAGCAATCGAAAACAAAATACATTATCAGACAATAAAGGTATAGTTTTTTCATGACATAACAATTGAATGACATTATCCCATCACTGCGCCATTCTAGTGTGCCCCCTCGTAATCGAACCATTTTACATTATGTCACAATGTAAGCGACGTCACGATGCATGTCAGTTGTCATTCCTCGTACGGCCTCCTACAGTAAACTAATCCGTTGCATCCCGTTTCTTGGTGTGCAGTTGCTTCACGCAGCTAATATCACTGGTGGAAACATTACGTTTATGTTTTACGACGTCTAAAATGTGTCAATTCGACTCACAAGTTTTCAGCGACACGGTAACGTTCGCAATGTTTACATTTCCACAATGCAATCGTGGAATGTGGCTTGACTACTCAGCTTCATCTGGATGTACTGACCTAAACTTACGTTGGTAGTAGAAATGCGACGTTCATATTGCCCCATATCATTTACGTTAATGACAGATGAAGTTAAAATAATTCAGAGAAGATATTTAATCCGAACGTAAACCGTCATCAAACTGTTATCATTTTTTTTTTTCTGGTAACACTCGTCTTAACGTAGGGGGGCAGACACATCAATAGAACAGCGCACCAGTTAGCCCTGTGCAAGCATTCTTAATTTAGGTCAGCGACACCGTCGTTTGTTTTCTGCCTTAAATTAATCGTAATTATCCTTAGAAAGTATTTAATTTGGCATCTTAGAAAATAACTACAGTTCGCTCTACTACCATGTATATAGAGAATACTACACGAGGTCTCATTACATACGAATTATACGAAACGAGTGTCCTTCCTATGGTATCTGACCGAGCCGAAGCGCAGGTCAGATAACATAGAAAGGTCACAAGTTTCGTGATGATTCGTATGTAATGAGACCGAAAGTGTGGTATTTTATTTATTACCCACGCCTTACATGCATTAAATTGACAAAATAGTGTATTTTTGTTAATATTTTGGTTTCAAACCAAACCGGTTTCATAAAGAGGTTATGGAAGAGTTTTGTACTGTAGTACAATATTTGCATGACGTCACAATGAAATGACGCCACTGCCTTGGTAACCGACGCCACGATGCATGTCAGTTGTCATCGCCTCAGACAGCCTCTTACAGTAAACTACTCCAGAGCACCCCGCTTCTAGGTTTGCAGTTGCTTCATTCGCTAACATCAAACATTGGTGGAAACATTGGACGGGTATAATGTCTCAGTTCGACTCACAATTAAACAGCGACACGGAAACGTTCGCGATGTTTACATTCCCACAATGCATTAAAGTTGTAGAATGAATGAATTCACGTGTTTGTTATGAATGAAAAAATAGTTACGTCAGAATGTGACCTAATTGAGAGGTCATCGGTTATCCAATCAAATCGTTAGAATCTCAGGTCAAGTCGTTACGACACAGGTCAACGCCATACGACACTCGTGTGACGTACGAGATTAGTATGCAACTACCCATACGTTGACCACGTGGGTAATAAAGTGTAATATAGCACACTTTCGCCCTGAACTATTATAACTATTATTTCTTAATTCTCAGTATAGTGTATAGGATCTCAAATGTATTATGATTATGACCTACCAATTAATCGATCTATAGCTCCTGCACTAGTGATAATGCTAGTGCATCGTATGTGACAGATGAATGGATACATTGATAGTTGACAGAGATTTGCCAGCATTATTTGTCTGGGAAATCTTTCATGGCAGAATTCATTCCTAAAATGCATCCAAAGTTTCTGCCTCCTATTATTAGTTGAAATGCACAAAGTTAAATTTCATTCATGCAAACAAAACTGATTTAATTAGGATCTTTTATGACTTTCATCATTTATCAAGTCTCTCAGGCCAAAAGGATTTTTATCATACCTTTTCTTTTGGAATATCTCCTACCATGCTTTACTTTATTGCAGCCTGTAGAAAGTGACAACAAATTTATATTGCAGCTTTCGAAAAATCTGTGGTACCATGGATCCCAGATAGCGAGGTTCCCGCCTGCCTCTGCTGTGAGAGGTCCTTCTCCCTGCGTCGGCGCCGCCATCACTGCCGTGTCTGTGGAGGGATCATGTGTGAAAACTGCTCCCAGTTCCTCACATTTTCATATGCTCGTATGTATTGGGATGCATTCACATTTCCCTCAGTCCTTACAAAATGTAAAGGAAGGTGATTGAAATAACAGAGAAGTGTATAGATATTCAGCTATAAGAATCACATATGGGTTTAGTGTTGTGTAATTGATAACATAACCATTAATGTATTCATTGTTGCAGTTAGGTATTTTGCTCAGATATGATGCAGTCTGCATCACAATTTTATGATGAAGGTTGTGTCAGGAGAACCCTAAGCAACTCAGATCATCCGATCAAAATGAAGGATGCATGGGTTCTTGACACAATCAGATGTCAGCAATCTAAAACAATTTGGCTTCATTTATATACCGCCTTGATCACTAAAAACTCGCGCTTAAAATGTCCACCAGTATGTTAGAACTACATTGGATTTCTTCCATTATATTTGTTTTCGAGGTACAGCACTCGGGAATGCTTGTCTGAATACTTTGGTCACCCATACTTAGAATTTAGAAGCCATAATGTTAGCTGACTGATTAGAAAGTTAATCTGGCTTCACACTGTGTCAAGTCCTGTGTCCCCTGATATTGCTGGAATTAGCTAAACTCACTCACTCGATCACTAATGTTTGGCTAGAGAGGCTCCTTTCAATAGAATCCTTTAACCCAAAAATATGGAATACTTTCTAAGCACAATGTTGATGTTTACTTCACAGAGAAGCTGGTGAACCCTGCGTTTAGCTTCCAAGGTCCAGGTTTCCTGCGCCGGTCCGGCAGTAATAGCAGTCTTAACTCTCTGATGGGTCCAGAAGGGGAGAGACACATGCGAGTGTGCGACACTTGTAGGCGTCTCCTGGAGAGGCGAGACCAGATGACGGAACAACGCAACACTAAAACACCACTTATGCAGCTATATGATGTACGGGTTTCATGGATTTCTCTGTTAGCTCCGTGATGATTTGTGTTTAAATACAGTATATCACGCCGTATAGGATGGGTTTTGTGTACCTGAAATTAGAGGGCTTTGAAGGGGGATGTGACCTATTATTGCAAAGAAAAACAATGGAAAACAAACACATTTTAACTGCAGATACATGTGTAGGGATCATGTATACACTGATGACGTGATTCGTTCAGGACTGCTTTCCAGAAGGGGTATATAAGCTAGCATAGATTTTGTAGGTTTATAAAAGGGGTCGCATTATATGCGGCGGTATATGGTAGGTCTTCTGTAACCAATACTTGTCATTACAGCCTTGGTTGATGCATATCAATTTATCCCAGTTGATTCTCAATTACTGCGTTGTCTGTTCTAGAGTTGATTATATACAAACCGCCGCCACAATATTGGAATATTGCTGAGTGCGATGTTAAACAATATGCAAACAATACTGAATAGATACTTCAATGGATACCATTCCATAAATGTTGATAGGCTATGTTATTTATGTAACACTTTATAATTTAAAAAAATGTTTCACTTTTTGTTACTTACGTCACTGTTGCCATTACCTAGCAGCGTTTTTATGAAAGTATTTGCTTTTAACAGAAAATGAAGACATGCATTCAGGAGGCTGAAGAACTACTAACGAGATACCTACCAATGGTAGACTCTCTCAGGTAAACACTTGTCTATTGTCACTACCATTAAGATGTACAACATTAGTTTATATTCTTCATGTCAGAAAATGTTATTTGTTTGGATGGCTATTTTGGGCATTGAATACACAAGGCTCATGTCTTCTGTAAATGTTATTTGATTGGATGGCTTATTTGGTGTTGAATAGACAGGGCTCAATGTTATTTGTTTGGATGGCTATTTTGGGCATGTCTGAATGTTACACAAGGCTCATGTCTGTCTGTAAATGTTATTTGATTGGATGGCTATTTTTGGTGTTGAATGGCTATCTTCTGTAAATTTATTTGGGATGGCTATGAATACACAAGGTCTCATGTTTGGATGGCTATTTTGGGCTTGAATACAATGGCTCATGTCTGTAAATGTTATTTGTTTGATGGCTATTTTTGGTGTTGAATACACAAGGCTCATGTCTTCTGTAAATGTTATTTGTTTGGCTCATGGCTATTTTTTGGATGGCTATTTTGGGAAATACACAAGGCTCATGTCTTCTGTAAAATGTTATTTGTTTGGATGGCTATTTTGGGCATTGAATACACAAGGCTCATGTCTTCTGTAAATGTTATTTGTTTGGATGGCTATTTTTTGGTGTTGAATACACAAGGGCTCATGTCTTCTGTAAATGTTATTTGTTTGGATGGCTATTTTGGGCATTGAATACACAAGGCTCATGTCTTCTGTAAATGTTATTTGTTTGGATGGCTATTTTGGGCATTGAATACACAGGGCTCATGTCTTCTGTAAATGTTATTTGTTTGGATGGCTATTTTGGTGTTGAATACACAAGGCTCATGTCTTCTGTAAATGTTATTTGTTTGGATGGCTATTTTGGTGTTGAATACACAAGGCTCATGTCTTCTGTAAATGTTATTTGTTTGGATGGCTATTTTTGTTTGGATGGCTATTTTTTGGATGTTGAATACACAAGGCTCATGTCTTCTGTAAATGTTATTTGTTTGGATGGCTATTTTGGGTTGAATACACAGGGCTCATGTCTTCTGTAAATGTTATTTGTTTGGATGGCTATTTTGGGCATTGAATACACAAGGCTCATGTCTGTAAATGTTATTTGATTGGATGGCTATTTTTGGTGTTGAATAGACAGGGCTCATGTCTTCTGTAAATGTTATTTGTTTGGATGGCTATTTTGGGCATTGAATACACAAGGCTCATGTCTTCTGTAAATGTTATTTGTTTGGATGGCTATTTTGGTGTTGAATACACACGGCTCATGTCTTCTGTAAATGTTATTTGATTGGATGGATAGTTTTGGTGTTGAATACACACGGCTCATGTCTTCTGTAAATGTTATTTGTTTGGATGGCTATTTTTGGTGTTGAATACACAAGGCTCATGTCTTCTGTAAATGTTATTTGATTGGATGGATAGTTTTGGCATTGGGGTGGTGGGGTAGCCTTATGGCTTAAAGTGTTTGCCCATCATGCAGAAGACCCGGTGTAGCAGGCCATTTCTTCCCTGGTCTAAACTTTCCCCGGGAGGTTTTGTCCTAGGATATTCTTACCCCGGGGAAAGTTTGGGCTAGGCTAAAGTTTCCCTCCCCTAGGCCAAACTTCCCCCTGTCTAAACTAGGATATTTTGTTCTGTTTTCTATGAAAAGTAGGGAGATTCTGGCCTAGCTAGGCCACTTCTTCCCCATCCTTGTTCTCATATCAAAAGGGGGAGATTCTGACCTACCTAGGCTACTTCTGCCCCACCCTTGTTTTTATATCAAAGGGGGAGATTCTGGCCATGCTCGACTACTTCTTCTCCACCCTTGCTCTTATATCGTAAGCAGATTCTGGCCTAGCTAGGCTACTTCTTCCCCATCCTTGTTCTCATATCAAAAGGGGGAGATTCTGACCTACCTAGGCTACTTCTGCCCCACCCTTGTTTTTATATCAAAGGGGGAGATTCTGGCCATGCTAGACTACTTCTTCTCCACCCTTGCTCTTATATCAAAAGGGGTGATTCTGGCCTAGCTAGGCTACTTCTTCCCCATCCTTGTTCTCATATCAAAAGGGGGAGATTCTGACCTACCTAGGCTACTTCTGCCCCACCCTTGTTTTTATATCAAAGGGGAGATTCTGGCCATGCTAGGAGACTACTTCTTCCCCACCCTTGCTCTTATATCAAAAGGGGTGATTCTGGCCTAGCTAGGCTACTTTTTCCTTACCCCTTGCTCTTATAAAACAACAGTAGGTTTGACTTATATTTTGGTACACATTTTTGCTAAATAGTCCATTCTGGCCTCTGACTTGGGTGTAGTGATTTGAATGCATACATGTTTGAACGGCATATATCTCTAAATCCATCCTGCTCCTGCCGCCATTCCTATGAAGACACATTGCATTAGTTCTTCATCTGTCCAGATCATGTCACAATAAGATGTAAACATTCAATCGCACATTTGATGGGTAAATAAGATGTAATATACACAGGTTGCTTGCTCTCTTATATCATGCTGTTTATTATCTAAGTGTATAATGTATAAGTGTAATAGAACATTATTCACATAAGCTTGTTTACTAATCCATAACCACTTTGGGTGAATGAAATATGATTCAGATATCCATGGGCCAAGTATACCCCTTTATCAAACCTTTTGTCTTTTGAATATAGAATAAGGCAATATAGTGGAATGATAGATGATACAGCATTTGATACAGATATTGTGTTGGGTTATTGTTGTGTTAATGTTTACATCTGCTTCCAACTGTTAAGTTGATGTTTGCCGACATGGATGCCATATTTAAAGCCATGAGTGAGGGAATAAAATTTTGAATGGATATGGACATCTAAGTAAAAACTGGGTATTTAGTTCAAGAATATAGTAATGATTTTGACATAAGCCAATTTTGAGTAAGTGGCTTATAAGTAAATTATTGAAAGATAAAAATAAGTAAATGATAATATAAAACAATAGTAGTGATATAATATCTTTGCTTTTATGCTTGCTTTTCTTTTTTAATCTCACCTTATAGAAGGGTATTAAAACAAAATGAGAACCATGTACATGTTATATATATCTGAAGATGAAGATTACCTGTAAATTGTTAATGGAACTTGACATCAACATGAATATCTTATCAATGTGTTCACGTGAATAGCTATGTCTTGTTTTCGCTTCTGACTTTTTGAGATCTAACATAAACAGTAAAACAAGGTTGGGGAAGAAATAGCCTAGCTAGGCCAGAATCTCCCCTTTGATATAAGAACAAGGATGGGAAACAAGTAGCCTTAAAGTTGATTCAAGGGTGGGGAAAGTTTGGGCCTAGGACAAACTTTCCCCGGGGAAGATTAAGCCTAGGGGGGGAAAGTTTGTCCTAGGCCAAAGTTTCCCCAGGGAAGGTTTGGCCAGGGGGAAAGTTTGGCCTGTTAAACCGGGTTTGATTCCCCAACACGGTGTACAATATGTGAAGACTATTTCTGGTGTCCCCTGCTGTGATATTGCTGGAATATTGCTAAAAGTGGTGTAAAACCATACTCACTCACTCACTATTTTGGGCATTGAAGCTCTGATGTAGAATGGGTCTTTATTGTTTATAGTAGCATGGAGATACCAGATACTTTATACACAGTGATTATTTTGTGTGAGTATGTGTGGAGCCTGTGTATTCCAATCCAAACAGGTGGCCAAAGTTGGCAAGGTTGTTCAAAGCAGTTCATTGTGTTGAGTTGTGTTCCTTAGGCATGCCAGGATCCTATGATCCTGTGGAAAAAATGACATTTCCTGGATATGATCCTTTGTCATTGTTAGTATCATAACATGCTGTGTATTTTCAACAAGGTGGTAAACATTTTGAGACCTCCATATAGGGTGCAGGTTTTTCTACCACATTTAGCTGACACAAACTAGGATATTACTGAAATACTTTTCAAAACAGTGTCAAACCAACTCACTCACTCTTATTCCAGCACTGGTGAGTCTGTGTACAACTACAGACCAGCTCAAATTCTACGGACCAAGCTGACTCGACAATATGAAGTGGTGGATCAACTAAGGTAGGTTTGTTGATTGTTGTATTATTTTTCCTTATCCTGACTCATGCTTAATTGCTTGTCTTCTTCCTCTTGCGAACATAGTGGAACACTTGTATCTCCTTATTGAAGCTCCCTTCAATAAAGTGTAAGTAAAATCACTAATCACTACTCACCAAGAGTTGTCCCTCCTTCCGTTTTGGCGGGAACTGGCGCCACTGTTCCCCCACATGCTTCACTCTCTCCTTCTTCTTCCAGTGAGCAGGTTGTGAGAGCTTCTGTGTCTCCCACGCACTATATCCTTTTGATTATTTAGTTAGTTACCCTCTATAAGTTCTTTATAGAGGTTTAGCTAGTATCCTTCATCAATATGTTTTGATATTTATTCGTATTTACCACTGTTTATTCACGTGTATTCCGTGGTTTGTTCAGTAGTTTACGCTCATGAAAATCTGTTCCGTATGTAAGTTACGCTTCTGCTGCTGACCCGCACCTAATATGCCCTAGTTGCACAGTACCATGTTCTTTCAGCTCACGCTGCAATTATTGCAAGCATTTATCAACTTGTGAATTTAATAAATATTTACTTTATGGCCCTGAGATGTGCCGCAGATAGGTCGCGCGAGGATTGATCCAGTCATGGATAATACAGCTGAGTCCCTCACCAGTCAACTGCTGTCGGACGACCCCTACCGCCTGGTGTTCCGCTGGAGTTTCCCTCGGAGGAGAGGCGGGGACGAAGTCCGCCACCTCCAAGAAGAGACCTGCATCTCCAGACATCCCGCCGCCGCAGTCCAAGACTCGAGGTCGCTCAACCACCCAGCGCAGACTTCGCACCCCCAGGGCAGCGTCCACCACCAAGGGGAAGTCAGCGCAGACTACTAGAACTTTCTCGGCCGAGATTGTTCCAATCGCAGAACAGGGCCCGATCATCATCCCAGAGGTGCATCACAAGAAACGACCGGTCTCAGCTACGGTGACATCAGCGCAGATCCAATCTCAACCCGATGTATCAACGCTGACAACAGATGATCGTCCCGTGGGCCCCCTCACCATCAACGCAGAAAGGGCAGCGCTGGTACCACCGCAGACCTTCCCCGGCTTACTTTATGCAGCAGTTCTCCCAGCAGATCATGGAGATAATGGAAGAGCCGCTACGCCTGAAAAAGAAACAGCCAGCCCAGGGCCTGAGCCTTCGCTGGAAGGCTCCAACGCAGACATCATCTCTGAGGGGCCTGCCATCAACGTGACTTCTGCCAGCAGAACTACACTACCGACCAGCCTGCGCGCCAAGGTCGACACAGCCAGCCCCTGCGGAGGACTCGGACGACCAGCTGCCAGCTGGGCGTTCGCTAAGGGCTACACGATCTTCACCTGCTTCGACTCGATGATCAACGCCGCTTATGGAAGCTGCTCGCTAAGGAGGAATCGCCATCCCTGACTCTGGCTCGACAACCAGCCTTCGCTGGCGGACCAGTCGCCACCCCTAAGTGCGGACTCAGATGAACCTTCGCTGAGAAGGACGCCAGCTACAGTATCCAAGACATCTTCGCCCCATAGATCATCGAGGGATTCACCAGGACCTTCGCGAACCCACAGTCGCCATCTCCAAGCAGGTCCCCACGCAGGCACAGGCTCAGTTCAGGGGCCATTCACCACGCCGATCTCCTCACCTCCACGCCCCCACGCAGGTCTCCTCGCGCAGGTCTCCGCAGGTCACGCAGGTCACCACGACGCCCCAACAAGTCTCCGCCACAGAGGTCTCCACGAGATCGCCACCCAGATTACCACAGTCACGCAGGACTCCACCTCGCTCACCGCTGGAGGAGTATCAACGCCCCTTTCAGCACTCCTGTTACTGAGATGATGGCGCATCATATTCTCGACTCTGAAATACGGGTACTGGATGGCTAATGGATTGGACTTGGCTTCACCATCTAAAGACGATAATCCGCTCACACCTATCTTATGACAGATGATGATGTCGACGCCACGCCACTCTGCCCCCGACGATCCCATCGCAGCGGTTCCACAGAACCTGGACGCAGCTTTCAAGACAGCCACTAAAACCCAGGCTTCACACTTACCACAGTTCAACGCCAGGAAGTTCTCCTCCCATAACATGGATCCTTTCCTTAAAGCTCAGGAAATAGACGAGAACTTTAAAGTAATCAGCGATGCCAAGGCCAAGTCTTACAAGATTGAGGACCGCAAGCTGGCTCAAGTAGAAACTATGACCAGAAGAATGTTCTTCGGCCTCAACAGATCTCGCGACAGTCAACTAAACGCCATCGCCAAGTTTCGAGATTCCACTGCGGAAGAAGATAGAATGATCTATTCGCCCTCCTTATGCAGAAGAAGGACCAACAGTTCATGACAGACCACCTTTCGGCCCATCTCCTCAGCATTTAACTCTGGCTCGTCGTCAAGGTCTCCTCGCCTCCTGCAGTTGGAGGAAAGTTTACAGCGCCACTTTACACAGCCCCGTGGTCAACTCCTTCCATCTTCGCTGGAGAAATCGACAGGGTTGCTAAGGAAGTCACTAAAGATTCAAGAGAAGTCCTAATGATCAAGTCCATAGACACTCTGGCCAGCGCCATCAGGCAGACAACCCAGTGCTACTCAGGAAGATCCAAGTTTCCTGGAATACAGAGGGCACGCTGACAGGAAAGTGGCTAGCTCCAGAGGCGGAAGGACTCTTTCACGCCCATCCGCAACTACAGGAGGATCCGACGAGGCAGGGCACCCAGAGGCTCCCGGAATTATCGACGATGAAAGACGGGTTCGAAACAACTGGAGTCTTCCACCCCCAGCCGTTCCTGTACAACCTTCCCAAGTGGGTGGACGTCTACAACTCCACTGGGAAAACTGGGGAATACTACAAGATCCATATGTATCCAACATCCTAAGACACGGATATCGCATCCAACTACAGGCCACGCCACCGCTTACAGTCAACCCTCACAAGTTCGACTTCAAGACACATCAGATAGAGAAGTTACGAGAGGCTGTCTCATCTCTTCTAACCAAGCAGGCCATAGAAATCGTGGATCAAGTCAACATCGAACCAGGTTTCTACTCCCCAGTTTTCCTGGTTCCAAAGAAAAATTCCAAAGAAAAGTTCCGACTCATCTACAATATGAGCACGTTCAACAGGGATTATCTACGCAGACCTCCCAGGTTCCGCATGATACATCTATCTCAACTAATCCACCTCGTCCGTCCGATGGACTACATGGCCAGCATAGATCTACAGGATGCCTACCTGCATATCCCGATACATCCCGACTCGAGAAAATACCTCAGATTTACACTGGACGGGCTACATTACCAATGGAAGGTCCTGCCATTTGGAATATCATCGGCCCCCTGGTTGTTTACAAGAGTAACGAAACCCTTAGTCACATATCTACATCATCGAGGGCTACGCAGTGCATTCTACCTCGACGACGGGATTCAAGTAGATCAAGATCCAGTCCGTCTCAAACTACAATTGAATTTCACCATCAATCTACTCACTCAGCTAGGATGGTTAGTGAATCTACCCAAGTCGGACCTAGAACCTACGCAGGACCTACAGTTTCTAGGCATCAGATTTCTCACGACGCAGAATCGTATCGTCGTGCCATAGGACCGATGGCTCAAGATTCAACAGACCATCCCTCAAGCCTTACTTCTCTCGCGGGCCACTACGACAGTGGCAGAGTCTGTTGGGTCTCCTCACGTCCGCTGGAGACATGACAGCCAGAGGCAGACTACAGCTACGCCTACAGGTCCTCATCAACGCCATCTCGACGACCTACAACCCTTCGGGTCTACCGAATTACCTCAGACCTCATCTACTATGGTGGACCCGAGGTCAAATGTTTGCGAAGGCATCTATTTAGCAGAGCCGAGTTCAAGACCCATCTATACGTAGACGCGTCACTCCAAGGTTGGGGAGCACATCTCGACAACCATGTGGCAGCCGGGATATGGAACAAGGAAGAGAAACGTCTGCACATCAACATGCTGGAGATGAAAGCAGCCATCAACGCCATACTCCATTGGAGCACCATTCTACAGAATGCGCATCTCATGGTACACACAGACAACTCGACAGTGGCGCTTTTACATAAACAAGCAAGGCTCAACAAGATCATTGAACCTACTAGATCTCTGCTTTCAACTGTTCGACCTAATCGACGATCTGAACATCCACGTAAGAGCATGTCACATTCCAGGAGCCAAGAATGTCCTAGCAGACGCACTATCCCGTCCAACTCAACCATCGCCGACAGAATGGATGCTCCATCCAGAGATCTTCACACAGATCATCAAGGAAATAGGAGCTCTGTTAATAGACCTATTCGCCACACGCTTCAACAATCAGCTAACAACATTCGCCTCTCCAGTCCCAGATCCACGAGCGCAAGGCAACGGACGCTCTCAGCATATCCTGGGAAGGCCTCAACGCGACGCTGCTTTCCTCCGCCAGCTTACTACCGAGGGTGTTACAGAAAATCAGCCAGACAAGGAACCTCCAACTGATTTTGGTCGCTCTACTGGCCAGCTTAGAATGTGGTTCCCATTCTCATACAAGAACTCGACCACCAATACTGCAACTACCAGAGCGGTCGAATCTACTAGTACATCCTCACACAAAACAAGCGCACGGCAACCCAGGAGCATTCCAACTACACGTGTGGACTGTATTAAGGCATGTTTAAACAAGAGAGGTTACTCAGCCAGAGCGGCGAAAGCAGTCACGCTTTGCTTTATCGCATTCTACACGCTTCCTGTACGGTATGACGACAAGTGGCGCAATTTTGAGACCTACGCTGCTAAAAAGGGATTTACAGCTAGAAATGCAACACATCCCCAAGTGGCAGACTATCTTTGTCACCTACGACAAACCAAACGTCTGAAAGGTTCTACACTCTCAACATACCTAGCGGCATTGAGTTCAGTGATAACTATGAGGACGGGTGCAAAGCTAACCAAAGTACCAGAGTTACTGGCCTTGTTACGCTTCTTATAAATTGGAGGACCAAAACAGAGATTTCACGCCCGCATGGGACTCAATATTGTTCTCAAACATCTCACAAGTGACGCTTACTTAACCACTGGAGACGACATCCTTTGAATTCTTGACACAGAAAACGCTGTTCCTGCTAGCCCTAGCAACAGCAGCCAGGATGTCGGAAATTCATGCTCTAGATTACGAGAGAACGAGATTTGATGAAAATCAAAACACAGTGCACATGGGACTGCGATTGGATTTTATCGCTAAGAATCAACTGCCAGGTCAACCGGACAGACAATTCCACCTCCCAGCACTATCCTCCATACTCGGACCACATGATACGCTTGACTTATCCTTGTGCCCAGTGAGAGCATTGAAAGTTTATCTACATCGATCCAGAATGAGGAGACGCAAGTTTAAACGACTTTTCGGTCCCGATATCAACAGCTTACACAGACGGAAGTCTCCCCGCACTACGATATCAATCTGATAAGAACTGTCATACTACGAAGAGCCTACAAGGCTGCAGGACTCGATCCTCCAAGAGCCTCTAACCCTCACGAAATTAGAGCACTGGCATCAACACTCGCTCTACATGGGAATTGCTCTGCTTAACACGATCATGGAGGGCTGTTTCTGGAAATCGGACATGGTGTTTGCAAACCACTACTTGAGAGATATCGCCACCGAGGACGCCTCAGGCATTCACCATTTCGCCCCTCTGGTTGTCGCACAGCAGTTGACAGTTCCCCACAGAAGATGAGACGTAGTCTCGCTGTGTTATCACATGACTTATCAAGCCTACACTCAGCAGAGTTTTGCTTCAGTATCTATGCACGCCTCAAGACTAGCATAAGTGATAAACCCAGTACTTGTAAGCTTACTCTCAGTACAATTGGGTCGCTTCTCCACTTTGGAGTCGCTAAATCCACATTGAAATGTTAACAGAAGTAGGACCAAAGTTAACTATTGTGGTCCCCCATCAAAAGGCAGCTGAAAGAACACATTTGCTTACAGCAGCAGAATTTAGCATAATTACAGTGCCATTATGAAGTTCCCTGTGGGGGGGTTTATTTTGACGAAAATTCACTAATTAAATCCTAAAGTGCTTTTTCCCACCACCTTTCCGTCCGGATTCTACAAGCAATTAAGCATGAGTCAGGATAAGGAAAAATATGTAATTTTCTGAATAAAATTGATATTTTATACTTATCCTGACTCATGAGGTAAGCCCTCCCAACCTCCCCACAAGACACTTTGGATTTCCCTGCAAATTCAAGTGTCGGGCTCATATTCAGGAGAGAGTGAAGCATGTGGGGGAACAGTGGCGCCAGTTCCCGCCAAAACTGAAGGAGGGACAACTCTTGGTGATTAGTGATTTTACGTACACTTTATTGAAGGGAGCTTCAATAAGGAGATACAAGTGTTCCACTATGTTCGCAAGAAGAAGAAGACAAGCAATTAAGCATGAGTCAGGATAAGTATAAAATATCAATTTTATTCAGAAAATTACATTTTTAACTGTAGTTAATCATGACAATCGTCTTTGTCAAGAATATTATGTAAATATTAATAAAATCAGTAACCCCAATTTGAGTTTGTAGCAGTGTATGAAATAAGGCCTGTCCGACCGCCCGAAACAGTCTAGATTTCTGACGGACAGCCTAAATTTACAGCTAGCCAGCCTGATGGTCTGGTAAAAATACTAGATGTTCCATACATCTGAGTAAATTCACCATCTTTGGTCTGGTTAAACCATTTTGGGCTGGTAACATTTTGAAGTTACCAGCCCTGATGTCTGGCTGGATTTTTGGCTTATTTCATACACTGCTTTGCAGTCTATTAATTTTATCTGTTAGTCTGAAATCAGAATCTGTTAAAATGGGAATAACTGTCTACACACATACACAAAGTGATGTTACCTTATACACAATCAGATATTAAAAGTGGCATCGCTTCATCTGCACACATTGACAAACTGACATTGCCTCTGACCTAAGGTTTGTTATCGTGTATACATCCATTAACTTCTATTTTCCTACCAGTTTTATGACTTCTTTTGTTTAGCTTGAAATGGAATGTTGATTGAGGTAAAGACTTGAACTAGTTTGAATTTCCATCAGAAAGCCTTCAAGAAATTATGAAGAACAGCACATCTCTCCTCATATTATCAAAATATAACCAGCTAACAGTGGGTACTGATGAGGCTATGGGTTGCATAAGTGGTTCATGCAATTTTCTCATATATTTGTGTCATCAATTATTGTTTTTTTTGTCATATCTTCTTCAGCAAGAAGATTCTAGTTCTGAACCTGAACGATGACCCCCAGCCCAACCCAAAACAACTTTATCTTCAAAAAGCAATACGAGTCTATGCCAGTAACTTCATGCAGGACAACCTGCTGGGTCTACAGGCCCTCCCGACAGAGGAAGAATATAAAAGATTGCAAGGAAAAAGGAAAGAGGAAATTCAGCGCAAAATTGCAGCTGAGCGACAAGCAGCCATGGAGGCTCAAGAGAAGGAGAAACGTCAAGACGAGCCGGGGGTGAAGTCACCGACAGAGAGTGTGAAACAGCTCGGACATAAACGTTCAGATTCACAGGATAGTGTTGGGAGAGGCTGGAAGCCGACGGAAGTTGTGCCCAATGTTGACAATGATGACGATCCCATGGTGACACAAATTAAGATTATTCATGGATATATTCAGCAGGCAACAAAAGCTCAGAGGTGGGATGAAGTCGCCATGTTGAAACAGAATTTGAAAGACTTAAAAGCTGCTTATCTGCGTGAACAAGGAGAGGGGTTTATGTCCTAGTGTCCTATACTGGGTGTTGCAGTATAATCAAGCATGATTTGGTTGTGTTAACTTGTAATGTATGGTTAAATACTGTCAAGTATGAAATAAATGCAATCATAATTTTTTTATGTGAGTGTCCCTTGCTTTGCATTAATAATGTGACACATTTTCTATCTCAAGTAGTCCTGCTACTGCTACAAGCACTGCATGTGCTTAAACAGTGATGTACATACAAAAATGTATGCTCACAATAAAATATAATTGAGTGCTAAATTTAGATAATTCTGCCTGATAAGTTTACGCAAGTTGATGAAATTGTTCTGATAGTAGCCAACTGTTTTGTTTTTGGTAAGCTTGTAATAATCTCATAATAATAATAGGCAAAACTCACCCATGTGGTGAAATTGGACAGTACAGCAGTCAAGGTGAAACCGTAATACTGCCCATTAACCTTGATTTGCATTGTAACAAATCTTTGAGCTCATACAATCATTGGTGACCAACCTCTTTCAAATGAAGCAGGGCTACAGGCATTAATTTCAAGATGCATTTTAGGCCAGGGGCTGACACTCACAAGGATTTGGTTCTGCATTATTTCCATAATTGGCAGTATTATACTGTGTCTGGCTTTTGAAAGATTCCCTGAGGCATTGTTATGATGAACTTGTGATGATCCATAATTTTGGACCTTGTTATATTTTACAATATTACCTAATAGACAGGCCAATGTCATTTCTTTGTTTTATACCTTTCTGGTGACAGAATAGAAATAGAAAATATCATAGTTGATTTGAGGTTAATTTCAGTTACCGAAAGCTAGTTTAGCAGTTAAGCTAGAAGAGAATAGAAGATTCGTGTTATTCACGGCAGCTTTCATTGTATTTCTTGTGTAAAATTTAACATAATTTACTGCTCATAATAGTTAAAAATGATTAAAAGTCCATTTATAGATTCCATTCACCAAGTGATTGCGTATAGAGCTACATTAATTCCTCTGTCTTTGGATAAGCGTGCTCTCAAAGTCATTGTCACCTCCCTAAGGAGTATGGAGATGCCAACCACTCCAATTTTGACAGAGTTACTTCTGTTTTCAAATTCAGAATCCTCTCTCAGATTTGTCTTTTAAAACTCTGTGAAATAATTTTAATAAATTTCCGTTTAAATATGTTAATTTGAGTTATGTCTTATCGGCTTAAGTATGCCTAGAAATGCAGAAAATGGCATATTTCCATGCTAAATCAAGACATTTTCCCAGACCCCACCGTAGAGAGGGGCCGAGCCCCTCACGCCACCCCCAACTGGGACCATGGTGCTCAGCATGACTTCGCTTTCATATCATATATAGATTCAGGGTTGGCATCTCTGAGTAAACAACCCAAGCTGCCAGTAATCCGATGGAAGGTTAACAGTCGCATTACTTTCATGTCCTACCGGGTACCCATTCACTGCTAGGTGAACAGAGGCAAATTTCGAACAAAGTCCCATGCCAACAAAGTCCCATGCCCTAGGCAATGTTAACGGGACACACCATACAGCATGTGCCTCAGTCACATATTTTATTTATGTTTTTTGTCAAACTGATCATAATTTACTTGTCTGTAAAACAGCAAAAGGAATTGGCCATTTTTTATTGAGCATTTCTGTTTTGCAGCCACTGTTAAGTGAGCTAAGAATCGTGATGCATTTTATCTATGCACATGGTGACAAGACTGACCTTGTAATGCTGGGTTACAGATTGGCTCTGAGCCGAGTTTGTACCACTGTATCATGGTACACATATAGTGATACATATGGTGACGTGACGCTTCTATGTCATTGAAGTTGATGTTGATGTAAAAAATAAGCCCACATCAGGGCCCTTGTTTCACAAAGCGATCATAGTTAAGGCGATCGTAAACTCCCAAAGACTTACGACAGTCGAAGTGCTCACGATCGGTTTGGGCCCCAGCCCTTTATATAACCTGGTGTACATAGAGGCACACTTTGTACTAATTTATTGATGGATATTCAAGGCAATGAACTATAATAGCTGGCATATTACGTGAAGCTTTTGTGTACTGGTATAAATGTGATGTATTTTCTACAACCTTATAAGCATGCTAATGTCATCAGTTTGTCCAATCAAAGGGTTATCTATAACTATGATCATGATTCTTAAAAGTATTCTGGTGTGTAATACCAAATGATGTAAAAAGTATGGATAAATAGCACAGGGAGTAGGCTAAACTATTGTCTTTAAACTTGTCACTGTGCAATTGTTTGAGTGAGTGAGTTTGGTTTTACACCGCTTTAGCAATATTCTTGCAATATCACGGCGGGGGCACACCAGAAATGGGCTTCACACATTGTACCCATGTGGGGAATCAAACCCGGGTCTTCAGCATGATGAGAAAGCTTTAACCACTTGGTTATGCCACCGCTCCTACAATAGTTTGAACCAAGGTAGCTACTTGTGTCATTATTCACAACTCTGCTAGGCCTAGCCAAGACAAGTAAATTCAATAGGGACAAGTGAGTTTCCTTGTGGACTACCACGTTTACCGTTTGATATGAATCAGATCATCTTAGATGTATCAGTCAATTTCGTCAGGTGCAATAATATAAGCAAATCTACCTGGGTAATTAACTGTGTCTCTTCAGAGTTGACTCAGTAAGGATTTAACTATGGTCTTAATCAGTAATAGATCTGAATGGTAATTGGGAGCTCATCAACATGTCTCCTGTAGTACACTGTTGATGCCATTGACTCTTGTAGCCATGGTTACCTTGACAGGATGAAAGGCAGCAGTGACAGAAGAGTGGGGATATACAGGGTCTGATTTCATTTCATTGATAGAATCAAACACACACACAGGAACAGTATTTCTTCAGGGTTTTTTATTATTTCTGTGTAGACTGATTCTGATTCACGTGTGAAGAGTTATTTAAGGAGTACCATTACCAATATCTCTTTTGTTATTGTCTCTTTTGTTATTTCAGACAAATACAGTACAATCTAAAAATAATAAAAATTCCACAGAAAATTAAAATGGCTATTTGTGTTGCCTTGTTTGTTGAACCAGATGTCGCTGTCCTACACGACTATAGCCTAGTGGTTAAAGTGTTTGCTCGTCACGCTGAAGACCTGGGTTCGATTGCCCACATTGGTACAATGTGTGAAGCCCATTTCTGGTGTCCCTCACCGTGATATTGCTGGAAAACTGCTAAAAGCAGCGTAAAACTAAACTCATTCACTCACTGCAATCACCTAGCTCTTAGATCGCTTTGTGGAATTGGGCCCTCTTTAAGCGAAAACCTGCTTCACCCACACTCCCTTGAATAATTATAGCACTTGAGACTAGGTAGCATAAAACATTGTTTTACATTTGTCTCCAAAGAATGGAGAGACTTATTTTTTTTACTGAAAACAGAAGTTATGAGAGAGGAACTCTTTTAATTATTTCCTCAAGCAGGGATCCAACAAACACAACTGGGGACACATTGAACTTGGTGGCTTATCCATACAATGTCAGTTGTCAAACATGCACATGTTATCTTGTTCATGTGATGCAGGACATGTGAACAATAATCTTAGTAATGCAATAAAAATGACCGACGCACAGGACCATCGATGATTATAACATTTCTTTATTTTGGCCCAATGTGAAAGGTCTGAATATGCCGAGTCTCTACACTGTTGTTTTCAACTTGTGACCTACCTATGCTTGTCAGACCTGTCACATAACTGATCGCATGATTAGGCTTGATTGCATACCAAACAGCATAGATTGTTGGTAATAACATGGATCACCTGATTGTTTGGTTCAGACTGATTTAGGCAGTCGTCATACAGCTGACATCCTGTGTTAAACAACCACGAATAAGTTAATGAGGTGTCATGTACTCAACTATTTGATGTCAAAGCTTATAATGGTAAACTACTATTTTCACAGAGGATGTATCTACTAAGCTGGTTTGGGAATAGGTATGTTAATGGCTCATTTTGGCCCTGTGCTATAGTTTATATGTGACTAAGCCTTACAGGAATTGTTTGGGGCATTATCTGACATGTTCATACCATTCGTTTCAATACGGTACTTGTATGTTTTGGATTTAACACTAAATGCATATGTGAGGCTCGGGATTTCTGTAAACATTTGGCCAATATTTGAACATGAGCAATCCTAGACCCAATCTATCAGATTTAGATAATCACAGCACAAAATTTTCTAAATTCATCTTGGGACAAGGGCTAGATTGAGTTATATCTTCTCTTATTCACTCATATTAACCACTGGGGCGGTGGTGTAGCCTAGTGGTTAAAGCGTTGGCTTGTCACGCCGAAGACCCGGGTTCGAATCCCCACATTGGTACAATGTGTCAAGCACATTTCTGGTGTTCCCCGCCGTGATGTTGCTGAAATATTGCTAAAAGCGGTGTAAAACCAAACTCAGGCAGGCATATGAACCACTATGTACTTGGTCACAGCACAAGTAAAACAATTGCAAGTTTTAGAAGACAAGAAGACTGGCTTCCAGCCATATGATCATGTCTGATCATTTTTTTGCCATTATATTGATATTGTCTGGAACTGCAGTTTTCGATTCCTGTGGGTCAAAAAGTGCCCTTATAATACTTCATCTTTTCAGCTACACCAATCACTGTGTTGTATTTTTTATCACATTAATATTTATGTGTTTACAGCTCACAGCTTTTTACAATGGCCAGTAAATAATTTATGCTGCTTCAGCACTTTCAAGCTTTTCCTGTTGAGATATCATTTGAATAGATGTGTTCCATCCAGTTGCCACATGAGGATTCATCACTGCAATAGGAGTTCAGGGTTTTGAGTGGTACCTGTAACACTCAGAAGTAAATGTTAAACTGGACAATTGTTTAAGCCCTAAGATTGTATTGTGGAAGACCCGCTCCTTGGCCAGTGTGGTTATGAGAAGATCAACTAAGGGGATCAGTGTGTCAGGCTCCGTGACTTGGCTGATGATGCTGATCATTACTCATGTAAACACCCGTGAAGATCTGGGTTAGAATGAACCTTCAGTAACCCATGCTTGTCGTAAGAGGCGACTAACGGGATCGGGTGGTCAGGCTCGCTGGCTTGGTTTCCAATCTGTTCCCAATTGCGCAGATCGATGCTCATGCTGTTGATCACTGGATTGTCTGGTCCAGACTCAATTATTTACAGACCGCCGCCATATAGCTGGAATATTGCTGAGTGCTAAACTAAAGCTAAACTCACTCACTCACTACTCATGTAAACAGTCACTGGCTTGTCTGGTCCAGACTTGATGATTTACCATGCTTGGCTGGAATATTGCTGATTTCTGATTTCAATAACATTCACTAGCTCACTTCATCTGATAAATTATTGTTTCAATATATGTTTACACTAGTCAGATATATTTGTAGTTTGATTCAGTGCTTGTTGGGGAGCATTAATGGTCAACGTGGATGTGGGGTTCTGGCTGCTGTTGTACGAAGCCACTTAGTGCTAAGATGATTGTAATTCCCATATCTTAACATGACTTAGGACAGTCATAGAGTTCACGTTGTTTTGTGCCACAGCACCCAGCCAAACCATTTTATGTGTGCAGGATTTAACAGGGTTTATTTCAAGTGATATCTTTCTTCTGTCATGAAGCATTCATCCTGAAACTTATACAGGAGCTGTTTTATGCATGGGTTGCCATATAGAGAATTACTCAAGTGTTCTTCATATCAATTATATCAACACGAGTTGATAAAGTTACAAATATCCGAGGCTTGCCGAGGATATTTTAACTTTTATCAACGAGTGTTGATATATTTTGATATCAGAAGACACGAGGGTGAGATTCTATTTATCATCCAAAAATCACTTTCATTAATTTTCAATGAAATAATGTACATCTCTCAACATGGTACTGCCATTACACTTGCAGTGCAGCGATGTCATAGCATAGCATTGTGACGTCATCATGCACATGACGTCATAGCATTGTCAGGGCATTGTACAAAATCTACTGTCAAAACGATATCTCCTAGGAGATATCGCTTTGATTTGATCTCACACAAGGATGATATATCCTGTGGAACACATAGTTTTGATGATAAACAGAAGTATTTAGTGTCTATTGACTGCAGAATGTGTATATAAGGCATCTAGAGGCTCTTGTCCAATGAGAGACCGCCTTTGATTCATGTTCCATGTATCCCAATCAATTTAATGCCAGTGTATGAAATAAGCCAAAAACACAGACATCAGGGCTGGTAACTTCAAATGTTACCAGCCAAAAATGGATTTAACCAGACCAAACAATACCCAGAAAGTGATAAGTTTTAGTTACAATGAATAATTTAATGAACCTAAGACATGTATTTACTCTCTAAGAGCATCGATAGGTGTCTCTGTTTGCGTATGTCAACTCAGTGCTTTGAGCTTGCGATACGATAGTTCAATGTTCAAACAGAAATTGTCAAGTGTAAATGTGACGCTCTGTTTAAAAATAGATTTTAAGAAATGGTGAATCTAAAAATTTTACCAGACCATAGGGCTGGCTAACTGTATATTTAGACCATCCATCAGAAATATAGCCCATCTCGGGCGCTCAGAAGGGCCTTATTTCATACACTGGTAAAGCTGACACTGTTAACAGGACTGTGTACGTCTTTCCTTAAAAATGTGATGTTTAAGGTTGATAGAGAGTTGTGACAGTACATGATTTGCTAATGAAGGTACTGCTACGTAAAATATTGCTTGTTTTTGTCATTATTTAGGTTTAGTTCCAAGGTAGTTTAACTACATCACAGTCAGTTTTACAATTCCTAGATGTCCCTTCCTCTCATGACAGTAGCAAAAAGAAGCAGCATGATGATGAACATTTTCCAAATGGTATTTTTTGAGGTGCCATATAATGTTAACATTTAGGTTTGTATGAACTACATCTTATGTTTTGTTTGAATATACCGATGGGAAATAGTTTCATGATGTATTTGTGACTGCAAATATGAAACAGACCCAGTCTTAAACAGTTAAACATGCTTCTAACTGTGACAGGTGGTGGGGTAGCATAGTGGTTAAAGCGTTGGTTTGTCACGCTGAAGACCCAGGTTCGATTCCCCACATGGGTACAAAGTGTGAAGCCCATTTCTGGTGTCCTCTGCCGTGATATTGCTGGAATATTGCTAAAAGCGGCGTAAAACCATACTCACTGACTCACTCTAATTGTGACATCAGTTTGGGTGTATAGAGTTTGCACTCAGCTTCACAGAGGGATGTTCATTGATAAGCTCAGACCAATTTTATTTCTTGTTTTATGGATCTGCCGGTCGTATTTTTTCAAGAATAAGAAAAAAATAAAGAAAGAATTTTCTCCGCTCAAAAAATAAAATCCTAATGTTTTTATTGGCCCAAAATGTAAACTTACAGAAAATGCTCTTTGTTTGTTTTTTGCCCCATATACACTTCATAAATTGCCAAATGTAAAACACTTTTAGTATTTAAGAGGAATATAACTTTGACTGGTGATTTTATTTTTATTTTTTTCCCCTCCTGTCTTTAGGTTTTCTCAGGACAAAAATCCGTAAAACAAGAAATATAATTGGTCTGGCCTAAAAAAGAGCATAGCAAATTTTCCAGAGACTGCAATGACTCCCTACACATTAAGACTGTATTTGTGTTTCTTCACCTGCAGGTAATCTATTGTAATATTTCAACTTTTAACCTCTGACCTGTTAAAATTTTCTTCACTTATATTTAAATTTATCTAATTTACATTCACTCAATGGTGGGCGTGTGTATGATAATCAAGATCAACTCAGATCGGATCAATTATCTCCAGGGTCAGTCATATTTATAAACTTGTAATGCACTCCTTTTATTTGATCGCATTAAGGATCTTTTTTATTCTTCAAACCTGTGAAAAATGGTGGTGAGTTGTAGGATATATAAAACACTTCTCAACAATCTATGAATGTGTAATATCTATCACTGCACTGTTAAATGGTATACGTTTTTGGTCAGTTATAGATACTGATAGTGAAACATATTGTCAGTA